GACGTGTCAAGTACTTGTAATTAACAAAAATTTGTGGCTCTTCTGCGAAGGCCCACTTAGGTATGTGAATAAAAATCGGTTTCAAAAAAAAAAAACCTGCACGAAAATCTGTGTAGAGATAACACATAAGTGTGGAACAAATTTCAAACGTATACAGTGGAAAGAGAGAGCAGTCATTGGCACTTTAAAGGTGGCAGGGGTCCTTGGATTAGATGGTGTGATCCATTCCTCTTCAGTTTCAAAAAATTTTTATTTTATGAAACTTCAACAGATTTTTTTTTTTTTTTTTAAGTAGGCTCCACTCCTGGGGCACCTGGGTGGCTCAGTGGGTTAAGCCGCTGCATTCGGCTCAGGTCATGATCCCAGGGTCCTGGGATCGAGCCCCGCATCGGTCTCTCTGCACAGCAGGGAGCCTGCTTCCCTTCCTCTCTCTGCCTGCCTCTCTGCCTACTTGTGATCTCTGCCTGTCAAATAAATAAATAAAATCTTAAAAAAAAAAAAAAAGTAGGCTCCACTCCTGTTGTGGAGCCCGATGCTGGTTTGGACTCAGAGCCCGGAGATCAAGACCCGAGCTCAAATCAAAAGTCAGATGCTTAACCCACTGAGCCACCCAGGCACCCTACCACTGGTTTCTTTTTTGACACATGGACCATCTAGAAGGCTATTGTTTAATTTCCCCATATTTGTAGATTTCCTAATTTTTTTTTAATGGTTGGTTTCCAACTCAATTCCATTAAGGTTGGAGAATATACTTGGTTTGATTTCAATTTGTGTAAATTTATTATGACTTATTTGATGGCCTTATTTTATGATCTGGTATGGAGAATTTTCCAAGTGTACTTGACAATAGTGTGTGTTCTGCTTTTGTTAGGTGGAAAGTTACCTGGTAGTTCAGACTGGTTGATCACGTCTATGTCTTTTCCGTCCTTACTAATTTCTTTCTGGTTGTTCTATCAATTAGAGAGAGGGGGTGTTGCAACTTGTAATTGTTCAGTGGTCCATTTGTCCTGTATTTTGGGGTCTGTCATTAGTATACATTTTTATTTGATACATATATTTGCTATATATGTATGTGTGTATATATTTGATGTGTTGTCCCTTTTATCGCTATGAAATGTCCTCGTTGTCTCTAGTACAATTTCTTCAAGCAGGCTCCGTACCCAATATGGGGCTTGAACTTATGACCCTGAGATCAAGAGTTACATGCGTTACTCACTGACCCAGCCAGGCACTCCTCTAGCGCAATTTATTATTTTTATTTTTTTAAAATATTTATTTATTTATTTGATAGAGAGAGTGCCAGTCCATATGCGAGCTAGAGGAGAGGCAGGGGGGGAGGGAGAGGGAGAGAGCATCTGAAGCCGAGTCCAAGCTGAGGACCAATTGGACTCTGGCTGGAACCCTCCACTGTGACATCATAACCTAAGCTGAAACCAAGAGTTAGAAGCTCAATCACCTGAGCCACCCAGGCGCCCCTATTACCATTTCTTTTACCATCTATTGTGTCTGATAGTAATTCTGTCCTTCTTACTCTTTTACAGTTATTGTTGATAGAGTGTATCTTTTTTTTTTTTAAGATTTTTATTTATTTATTTATTTGACAGAGAGTGAGATCACAAGTAGGCAGAGAGAGGGGGGAAACAGGCTCCCCGCCAAGCAGAGAGCCCCATGTGAGACTCTATCCCAGGACCCTGAGATCACGACCTGAGCCAAAGGCAGAGGCTTAACCCACTGAGCCACCCAGGCGCCCCGATATGGTATATCTTTTAAAAGTTTATTTATTTAAGTAATGTCTACACCTGACGTGGGGCTCGAACTCATGACCCTGAGATCAAGGGTCACACGCTCCTCAGACGGGGCCAGCCAGGTGCCCCCATGGTATATCTTTTCTCATTCTTTTACTTTCAACTTATTGGTGTCAAAGATCTAAAGTGTGTCTTTTGGGGCACCTGGGTGGCTCAATCATGAAGCATCTGCCTTCGGTTCAGGTCATGATCCCAGGGTCCTGGGATCGAGCCTTGCATCGGGCTCCCTGCTTGCTGGGAAGCGTGCTTCTTCCTTTCCCACTCCCCCTGCTGTGTTCCCTCTCTCACTATGCCTTTCTCTGTCAAATAAATAAATAAAATCTTCTTTAAAAATTTAAAAGAATAAAGTGTGTCTTTTATAGACAGCATTTACTGGATCTTGCTCTCTAATTCAGTCTGACAGTATGTTACTGATGGATTGCTTCATAATCAATTACCCCATAACTTAGCACTGTAACATTTTAATGATCTTACACAGTTTCTGAAGTTAGGATCCAGGAGTGGCTTACACAGGTGGTTGTGGCTCTGATTTTCCAGAGTTATGTTCAAACCGTCTGTGGAGTTACAGTCATTAGAAGGAAGCTTTTGAGGATGCCTGGGTGGCTCAGCTGCTTAAGCATTTGCCTTTGGCTTAGGTCACAATCCTAGGGTCCTGGGGTTGAGTCCTGTGTCCGGCTCTCTCCTTAGTGAGGAGTCTGCTTCCCCTTCTGCCTGTCACTCCCCCTCTCTTTCTCTGTCAAATAAATAAATAAATAAAATCTGAAAGAAAGAAAGAAAAAGAAAGAAAGAAAGAAAGAAAGAAAGAAAGAAAGAAAGAAAGAAAGAAAAAGAAAGAAAAAAAATTTCATAAACTCTGGCTGTGGCCAAACCCATTGCCCGGTTGAGTAGGGCTCCCAGGCTAAGAATAGGTTGTCCATTTTTAAATAGCTAAAAACAATAAAAAGGAGAATATTTCCTCACACTAAAAATTATATGGAATTCAAATCTCAACATCCATAACTCAGGTTTTTTTGTGTTTTTTTTTAAGATTTTATTTATTTATTTGACAGACAGAGATCACAAGTAGGCAGAGAGGCAGGCAGAGAAAGGAGGAAGCAGGCTCCCCGCTGAGCAGAAAGCCCAATGCAGGGTTTGATCCCAGGACCCTGGGATCATGACCTGAGCCGAAGGCAGAGGCTTTTAAACCCACTGAGCCACCCAGGTACCCCTATAACTCAGGTTTTATGGGAACACAGCCAGGCTCTTGCATTTCCGTCCTGCCTAATGGCTGCTTTTGTCCTTCGTCAGTGGAGTTCAGCAGCTGTGGCAGGTACCAGATCATCCCCAATGCCTAACATACTCACCAGGGGACCACTACAGAAAAGGTTTGCAACCTCTGTGCTGAAGGCTTGACTTGGACCAGAGCAGCCTCTTCTGGGGTGGCGCATGCGAGCGCGCGCACAGACACACACACACACACACACACACACACACACACACACACACGGCTGTTGGCAACAGTTTCAGTTTCTGGTCATATGGGCGATTACATGTGGAACAGATTGTTCGAGGAGCGCCTGACTCCTCCTAGAGGAGCGATCCAGGAGTGAGAGGAGCGGAAGGGTCTCTTAGAACTTAACTTTCTGCCATATTCTCAGTCACACACACACCAGCCCAGGTTGGGAGGGGAGTTCAGAAGGGTGTGAACACCATTAGAAGTCACCTCCGTGGCTGACCATGACAGCAGTCTATGCCTTTTGACTGGAAGGTTTATTTCATTTACACTTGATGTAATCATTGATATAATTGCCTTTCTGGCTACCTTGTTTGCTATTTGTTTTTACTTTCTGTTAATTCTTCACCACTTTTTTTTTTTTTTTAAGATTTCATTTATTTATTTGAGAGAGAAACAGTGAGAGAGAGCATGAGAGGCAAGAAGGTCAGAGGGAGAAGCAGACTCCCCATGGAATTGGGAGCCCGATGCAGGACTCGATTCCGGGACTCCGGGACCGTGACCTGAGCTGAAGGCAGTTGCTTAACCAACTGAGCCACCCAGGAGCCCTTCACCACCTTCTTTTGTGCTAAATAATTTTTAACGAATTTTTTTTTAGCAGCATTTTTTTTTTCGGGAGCAAATAATTTTTAATTTTTTTTTAAACAATTACACCAAAGAATCATGCAGTGCTGCCAGCATTGGATGCAATCCTGGGCCACAAGTCTGCACACTCCTTTGCGACTGGTCCTGTGATAGCAGACCCTTTCATTTCACCTTTATTGTTTACTATGACCCCTGCATTATCTTCAAAATAGAGAAACACACCATCTTTTCTCCGGTATGACTTTTTTTGTCGAATTACCACTGCTGGATGTACCTTCTTTCTGAGCTCTGGTTTGCCTTTCTTCATTGTGGCCATCACCATGTCACCCACACCCGCAACAGGAAGTCTGTTCAATCGTCCCTTGATCCCCTTCACAGAGATGATATACAGATTTTTGGCTCCTGTGTTGTCAGCACAGTTGATCACGGCGCCCACCGGAAAACCTAGGGAAATCCGGAATTTCGTACCGGAGGACCCACCACGTCCTCGCTTCGACATCTTGAACGCCGGAAAGGGCTTTAACAGCATTTTTTGAAAGCTGTTTTGTTTTTTTTTTTAAAGATTTTATTTACTTATTTGACAGACAGAGATTACAATCAGGTAGAGAGAGGCAGGCAGAGAGGGAGGAAGGGAAGCAGGCTCCCTGCCGAGCAGAGAGCCCGGTGCGGGGCTCGATCCCAGGATCCTGGGATCATGACCTGAGCCGAAGGCAGAGGCCCCAACCCACTGAGCCACCCAAGTGCCCCTGAAAGCTGTTTTTTAAGTAGTCATTCTAGGAATTACAATATACATCTTATCAAGTCAACTTTATTTATTTTTAAAGATTTTATTTATTTATTTATTTATTTTTAAGATATTTATTTATTTGACAGACAGATACCACAAGTAGGCAGAGAGGCAGGCAGAGAGGGAGGAAGGGAAGCAGGCTCCCTGCCAAGCAAAGAGCCCGGTGCGGGGCTTGATCCCAGGACCCTGGGATCATGACCTGAGCCGAAGGCAGAGGCTTTAACCCACTGAGCCACCCAGGCGCCCATGAATGTTCATTTTTTAACAATTTTTTATATTGTAGATTAAAAATAATTTTAAAGTAATCTCTACACCCAACGTGGGGCTCAAATTCACAACCATGAGATCAAGGGTTGCATGCTCCACCAACCAAGCTGGCCAGGTGCCCCTGGTTGGATGTTTAGATGGATGGATGTTTGGAAAGACTGATGGATGTTGAGATGGATGAATGGACGGTGTATCATTGAATCAAGGAAGCAAGGAACAGTGAGGGAGGTGAATGGAGTCATGGACACTCATGAGACACCCACAGGCATTTTATTAGGGGCTTAGAAGGGAGTCCTGTGGGATCTTTTCCTCTGTGTTCCCAAGGGTTATGGCCCCGGAGAATAGATCAGACTTGGACATAGGACAAGGTGATGTCACCCTTGATCTCCAGCACGTCCACATTCTGGAAGGCTGAAAGGCGATGGGAAAAGTCGAAGAGGTGCTGGCCATTGGCATAAACCTTGAAACGATCCAGGCCACAGCGGATGGACAGCTGCAGGGAGAAGGCAGGCTTGAGGCTGAGGCCAGGGCAGAAGCTTTGGAGGGAAGGGGGGTGGTAGGAAGGGGACCCCAGACTCACATCAAAGAATTGCCCAGGACCAAAGGGGTTGTAGGAGATCTTCTTGTCTTCGGATCCCCAGGAACCGTTCAGACAGCTGTTCCGAACCACGAGACCCTCAGTCAGGCGAGGGTTAATGTGCAGAGCCAGGTCCCCTGAGGATCCCACCATGAAGTTGATGACAAAGCTGAAGGCAGAGAGGGAAGGAGGCAGGAGTCAGATGGTGGCCAGTGCCTGGTTCTCCAAGGGAGAAGGGGACCGCAGTCCCGACTCCTGGGTCTGAGGGAGGAAGGGGGCTGAGGATTCCCACCGCAGTCTAGTTGTATACCTCTTGCCCATGGGGGGTATGGAACCCTTGATTATGATGGTTCTTCGGGCTGTAAGCCCTCCTTGCAAGTTCTTCCTAAATGGCACAGGCTGTGGGAGGAGACCATGAGGTCCTATCATCTCTCAGGTAACCAGAAGCCAGGCAGGGACAGATTTACAGAGAGGGGTGCCCACTCCCAGGAAGTGTCCTCAGCCCCCATCCCCTCCCCACTCTGGCCACCAACTCCACCCTCTCCCTACCTCCCAACCCAACACCCTCTGCCCACTCGACTTCCCATGCTCTCGGGGCCACCAGGGGTCGGTCAGGGCCCCCTACCCACCACCTGCTTCCCCACAAACTTCCCACCACAGAGGCCGAAACTCCCATAGGACACTTTACCGGGTTGAAGATTGGCGGTCCTTCCATGGTCTGTGAAGTGAGGAAGGGGAGAGATTATTCTATGACGTTCCACAAATATTTACGGCACACTGACTACATGCAGGCATGTCTCTGGGTACTGGATGGGTACGACTGATACCCCTCTACTTCTCTCCACCCCCCCCCCCCGCAAATGGCCCCACAACCTTCCCACTTACAGGCAGCTGACTTGGCTGTTGGTGCGTATATCCAGGACCCTACACAGACAGATGGAAGGCAAGGATGGTGAAGGGGACTGGGGGTCCTTCAGCTGCCCCAAGACCTCCTCACATCACCAAAACCCACCAAGAGGAGAAACCCACTGCCCATCAGCAGACACTTACTGGGTACACTGGAGTTCCCATGGGTATCTGTGGACACAGAGGCAATGTGTGAAGGGAGGCTGGCTATGAGGGAGACCCCTGACTGGGGCCAGGAGGGTGTCAAGGATGTCTGCCCAGGGCAGCCCCACCACCCCCCCGTCCGAGGGAACTCTGGGGTCAAAGAGGAGCACCAGGTGGCTTATGAATGGAGAGGAACCTGCTGTGCTTAGGGAACTCCAGTGAGCAGCACAGTCACTTTGGCCCTTTAGGGCAGGCCTGGTAAATTCTATTTGTCTCCCTTATCCCGCTTCGTCCTGTCCAGGAGCCCGCATCCGCCTCAGCCTGGAAGCTTCCACAAAGCGTAGGCTCTTCAGAACGTCTTCCCAGCCCACACCACTGATACCCCCCGCTCACCTCACCCCTGGTCAGGATTTGCCCTTTACTCTCGGTGCCCAGTGCTGGGGTGGTGAGGAGTCCTGCCTCTCCCAGGTCGGCCTCAGGCTCTCTCAGTCTGCGTGTGTCTCTGTTTCTGTTTCTCTGCCTCTCCCTGTCTCTGTCTCTGTCTCTCTTTGTCTCACGATGGTAAGACCATCGTGACAGGTGTGGGCCGGAAACCCCCCCATTACTTATATCCACTCGTTCTCTCTGTTCCGTCCTCTTTTCAATGAACTCCTTTCTGCCTTGGCTTCTGTTTTAAGTCAGTGATTCCAAAGGGACTTCCCAAATAGCCTTATTGTCGTTTTTCTTGTTCAAATGTGTGGATGAGGGATGACAGTAAAATGAACACCCGCAGGCCCATGGCCACCTCACGGGTGAAGACATTTTCATCGTTCCCTCATCTGGGGGCAGAAGGACCCCCCCACACACCGCACAGAACCTCTCCCCCTCCCCCGCCTGCATTTAATCCGTGGCTCTGTCACTTCCCAGCTCCGTGACTGTGGCCAGTTATTGAAGCTGTCTGTGCCTCAGTTCCCACATCTGTCCAGTGGGCCTGAGGATCATCGGAGCGTGGAGGTTGGGGGGCCTTACAGGTCAGGGAGTGCATCGCCCCCAGCTGAAGGCCATGGTGGGAGTCTGGAGTTTGGGCTTCTCTGAGGGCTCTGTGGCTGTTTTGGTGGCCTTTTGTTCACCGTGGCCCTGGGAGTGGGGTTTCTAGGTGGCCGGATGTGTTTCCGCTCTCGGTCATTTCCAGGGGAGTGTGGGCTGGTCCCCAGCAGTTGCTGTTGTGTGCCTTTCTCTGGAAGGCTCTTCCTGCGGGTGTGGACCAGCAGCTCATTGCGACTGGAAGTGAGATTCTCCGTGACTAGCCATGTTAGGCGGCTGCTCATGAACTTTCCGGCAGGCAGTTCCTGTGGCTTTTGTCCCTTCTTATCTTGACTTTCTGACTCAGCTTCCATGCTTCCTCCTCCTCCAGGAAGCCCTTCCCTTGCACTCTTTCAAACCTCCAGTCTGTCCCCAGACCGATCCCCCTCTCCATCCGCCCACCGCCCCAGCCCTAACCACATGCAGCCAATGCCATCTGGTGAATAGTCTGTCTTTCCAGTGGGCGGAGTAGGGCGCCTAGGCGGTCTGTGGCCCAGCCAGCAAAGGGGCCAGCACAGAGCAGGAGTTCTGGACACAGAGGAACATGGGACTGGATTAAGGAAGGAAGCGTGTGCGTAAGAGAGGGAGCCATCACGCACCTGGCCGGGAGGCGGGTTGCCGCCAATGAAGTTGATGGATTGAAGCTCCAGGTCCCCGTCCACTTGCAGGTGTGTGACCATCTGTAGAGGGAGCCGGTGCCCAAACTGGTAGAAGGGATTTCCATTTACCACCACCTGGAGGGCAGGGGTAATGTCAGAGTCAGCAGCCATGACTTTGGCAAGGCAGACACAGGAGGTAGGGAACAGCAATCATTTTCACTTGCACTTTGGTCTTGGAGGGGACCTGGGGAGCCACAGAGTCGGGAATCCTGGAGTCCACAGGTGAGAGGCCAAGCCAGGGTCAAAAGTCAGCTCACAGATGGGCAGGCAGACGGAAGAGAACAGAGAATTTAGTCAGGGTAGCGGTTGGGAGAGGATCAAGTCGGAGTCCTGGTTTTGGCACCAAATGAGTTTGAGCTGAGTCTAGCTCTAACATGTGGGTTGTCTGACCTCAGGGAAGTCACTTCACCTCCCTGGACCTCTGTTTCCCCACCTGTAACATGGAGGACGGCTCTGGGATTGTTGGGAACATTAAAACCCAGCCAGGCATGTCGAAGGTGTTCTGGAAATCCTCTTTATTTTGTTTTATTTTTATTTAAGATTTATTTATTTATTTGACAGAGAGAGATCTCAAGTAGGCAGAGAGGCAGGCGGTGGGGGGGGGTGGGAAGCAGGCTCCCCACTGAGCAGAGATCCCTACCCAGGGCTCGATCCCAGGACCCTGAGACCATGACCTGAGCCGAAGGCAGAGACTCAACCCACTGAGCCACCCAGGCGCCCCTGGAAATCCTCTTTAGAGCCTTGACTAATCATATCTTTTTTTTTTTTAAGATTTTATTTATTTATGTGCACGAAAGAGAGAGAGAGAGAGAGGGAGTGAGAGAAAGCATGGGCAGGGGCAGAGGAGAGGGAGAAGCAGACTCCCCACTGAGCAGGGAGCGCCCTGTGGGGCTTGGTCCCAAGACGCTGGGATTACAATCTGAGCTAAAGGTGGGCGCTTAACCAACTGAGCCACCCAGACAACTCTCAGCTCACGTCTCAATCTCAGAGTTGTTCAAGCCCCATCTGGACTCCACACTGGGTGTGGAGCCTACTTAAGAAAGTAAAATAAAATTAATAATAATAATAATAATAATAATAAAATAAAGACATAGAAACAGATTCAAGCAGGGAGAAGTCAGGATAAAGGCCAACCCTGGGGACAAGGGGACAGGAAGGGACAGGAAAGGGCTTCTGGGGCTGGAAGGCTCTTGTTTCTAGACTTAGATGCTGGTTCCAGGGGTGTGTTCTCTGCAAAGAACCAGCAAGCTGGGTACACATGGCCCACGCTCTTCTGTACCCTGGTCACACTTCAATCACACATTCAAAATATGCTTGCAGGGGCGCCTGGGTGGCTCAGTGGTTTAAGCCTCTGGCTTCGGCTCAGGTCGTGGTCTCAGGGTCCTGGGATCGAGCCCTGCATCGGGCTCTCTGCTCAGTGGGAAGCCTGCTTCCTCCTCTCTCTCTGTCTGCCTCTCTGCCCACTTGTGATCTCTCTGTCAAATAAATAAAATCTTTAAAAAAAAAAAAGTGTTTGCAGAACAGTAATTGATCACAATGTTGGGCCTTATCTGCAGCCGGATTCCCAGTGTAGAAAGCAACAAATATTAAAGTATTTATGAGATGACCGGACTGCTGACTGGATATGGGGATGCTGAGGAAGAACGCTCGGTGTTTTAAAGATTTTTATTTATTTACTTATTTGACACAGAGAGAGAGAGATCACAAGTAGGCAGAGAGGCAGAGGGGGAAACAGGCTCCCCGCTGAGCAGAGAGCCCAATGCTGGGCTTGTTCCCAAGACCCTGAGATCATGACCTGAGCCAAAGGCAGAGACGTAACCCACTGAGCCACCCAGGCGCCCCAAGAATGCTCAGTGTTTTCTGTGTGCTAATGGCATCACGACAGTGCTCCTGAAAAGCGAGAGATTTATCAATAACCTGATATGATATCTGGGATTTGCTCTTAAATCCTCTGAGAGGGGAAATGTGAGGCAGGATGACGGCAGAGGGACAGGGAGTTCATGACCACCGGAGGTGGCCAAGGAGATCAGGGGGTGGCTGTCCCCTCACTTCCTTCTGTTTGTATTCAGAGTTCACCAGAAGAAATAGCAAAAATGGGGATGCCTGGGTGGCTCAGTCCATTAAGCATCAGCCTTGGGCTCAGATCATGAACCCTGGGGGTGGTAGGATGGAGTCCCGCATGGGGCTCCTTGCTCAGCAGGGAGTCTGCTTCCCCTCTGTTCCTCCTTCCATTCTCTCTCTCTCTGTCAAATAAATAAATAAAATTAAAAGAAAAGAAAAAAATAGCAAAAACAGGGGTGCCTGGGTGACTGACTAAGGTCAGGATCCCAGGGTCATGGGTTTCAGTCCCCCATCTGGCTCCTTGCTCAGAGGGGATCCTGCTTCTCCCTCTGCCCCTCCCTGCAGCTCATGCGCGCTCTCTCTCTCAAATAAATAAACTCTTTTTAAAAAATAGCAAAAATACGCATTTTGCAAAAAACAGAGGAACAAGGTGAGACACATGAAACGTTAGAAGGCTGTCTGCCGTGGACGAAGAATGAGAAACAAGAGGAAAAATAATTTTTTTAAGGAGAAAAATGTTTTAATAGGCAGGAAAGAAGAAAAAGAAAAAAGTGAGTTAGGAAAGGTGGTGAGGAAAGGGAAGCAGGGAGGGGAGAGGGGCAGGGAAGACGGGAGCCTGAGAGAGGCAGGGAGGGGTGGCAAGAGGAGGAGGAGGGACAGATGGAAGAAAAGGAGGGAGGAGGGAGGAGGGGAGGCTCCGACCCGGAGCTCGGACCTTGTAGTGCTCCGCCAGGACCATGAACACCAGCTCGAAGGCCGCGCCCTTGCGGAAGGGCATGCTCCTTTTCTTCTCCTCGCTGCCCCACTTGCCGCCCTGCTGCGAGTTGAAGACCACCTTGTCCCAGCCATCAAAGCGGGGATTGAAGTGCAAGGCAATGTCTGCTCCCACGTACGGCCCTGCCACGAAGTTCACGTAGAACCTGGCGGGACAGGAAGGGCTATGCCCCTGGCCCCATCTGCCTGCGCATGGGGCCCTCCTCCGGAAGCCCTCTCTGATCTATGGTATTCCAAGGTCCCTGAACGGGTCTCTGAACTGGGTGGGAGCGGGGGTGTGAGGACCAGGAAAATAGGGGCAACACACTTAGGCCCTGTTGATGCAAGAGAGGAGGGGGTGGGCCGTGCTCCTGAAGTCCGGGAGGCATATTTCTTCTGCAACACTTTCCCTCTCTCCCTTTCCTTATCAGGCCACTGCCCCCCCAGCCTCTCCCAACTTGGCAACTGGGACTCCTGCATTTCCCTATTCACCATGGGCCAGACGCGGTCCTAGGAACCCTACAGGTATCTGGTCAGGTCACTCTGCTGCCACCCCACCCCACAGGCCACTCCCCACTTGTAGCCAGAGGGACCTAAGGAACAGCCAAATCTGAGCACCACCCATGCCTCCCCTCAAGCCAGCAACCCTGAAGTTATTCTAACTGGGTAAATACACACCTGCCTCAGGGCCTTTGCACTGGCTGTTCTTGCTACCAGCCTCTACTCCCAGACTCCTTCCCCTCCCCTCCCCTGGGTCTTTGCTGAAGTGTTTGCTTCCCAGAGAGGCCTTCCTGGTCTACCTTATTTATTTATTCATTTAATTTAAAAAGATTTTATTTATCATTCATTTGACAGAGATCACGAGTAGGCAGAGAGGCAGGCAGAGAGAGAAGAGGAAGCAGGCTCCCCACTGAGCAGAGAGCTGGATGCGGGGCTCCATCCCAGGACCCCAAGATCATGACTAGAGCCAAAGACAGAGGCTCAACCCACTGAGCCACCCAGGTACCCCCGGTCTACCCTATTTAAAGGGACAGTACTATACCCCTACCTCGCCTGCATCCATTCCCCATCTCCTTGCCCTATTTATTTGTCTCCATAGCACTTAGCACCACCGGACCCTGTCTATTTGATTTTTATCTTTCATCTCTCCTCTCTACTAGGTTGTCAACTCCATGTGGGCAGAGAGCTTTGCCCTGGTGACTGCTCTGTCCCCAGGGACTGGGCACATAGTGGGCCCTAAGTAAGCAAAAAAAACAATGAATAAAGAAATGGCAGTGCCAGAGGAAGCCTGGGTGGCTCAGTCCGTTAAGTGTACGCCTGTGGCTCAGATTGTGATCCTGGGGTTCTGGGATTGAGCCCTGAATCAGGCTCCCTGTTCCGCAGGGAGTCTGCTTCTCCCTCTCCCACTGCCCCTCCCCTCTGCTTGTGCTCTCTCTCACTATCTTTCTCTCTCAAATAAATAAATAAAATCTTAAAAAAAAAAGCAAGAAAAAAGAAAACAAAACAAAAACCTCAACAGTGCCTTGAGGTCAGTTCAATTGTCATCACCACCTTAAGGCCATAAAAAAATGCTAAGACTTAATTTTAATGCTTACTTTCCAGTTCTACATGTTTTACACATTGAATCCCTGAAACAGTGCCATCTTACATATGGGAAAAGAAAGCACAGAGAGGTTTTCCCACTCATGCAATTGCACAGTCACACAACTGGCCGGCTCTGAACTCTGATCTGAATTCGTGCTATCACACCCATCATTTCCAATCTGACATCCCAACTCGGGCTGCTTCTGGTGGTGATCTCCCTGACTGCCCTTCCCCCCCCACCCCCCGCCCCCAGGCTCCCCTGCTCCGGTCACCAAGCCCTGGATGTCCCAGGCTCAGGCTGGTCTTTGGCCACTAGGTACAGTGGCCCAGAGCCGCCATCCCCAGTAGAGTAGAGGAAGGGAAGAATGCCTCCTGCATTAGGGATGGGAGCCCCTCTTTGTGGCCCCCGCCCCTGCCTTGTCTGGAGTCGGGGGAGTGCCTTACCTCTTCATGTGCTCAGCGGCCACTCCTTGGATGTACACAGACATTCCCACACTGAGACCGCCCGGGATGGGCTTGTTGTAGGGCAGAGTCTGTGAAAAGGGACTGGTGAGCCTTTCCCCCTCATTGAGGAGCCCCCAACTCTTATTATAGAGGGAGAAGACGCCAGGGGTGAAGGGTCAGCGTGAAGATGAAGATGGCCAAGAGTCAGGGATGCACATAAATAGCGCAAGGGTCAGGGTGGGAGCAAGTCAGGCTTCGGGGTGAGTATTGGCTAAGTGAGACCCCAGGGTGGGGGTGGGGCTTCTCAGGATCAGGGTGAGAGTAAATTGGTGTGTGAGGTTCAGGGTGGAGCTAAGCTGGGATCCATGGTTGGGTCCTGGGTCACCATCTTACCGGATTGTAAGTGGGCTGGTAGCCAGGTGCAGGGACATAGGCCATCTTGAGAGGCTGGGCTGGTGGCTCGTCCCGGAAGAGAGGCGGCGGCGGGCAATGTCAGCAGATGGGAGGCGGTGGCGGCTCTTATACCTGAGGGACAGGGAGTGGCTGGCAGGGAAGGGTCCATGGGTTCCTCTTCTGGGCATCCGAGGCTCCCATCTTTTGCTAGGGCAGCCGCTTGTGTCCCTTCTGTTACTAGCCTCCCTGGCCACCAGCTAGAACCCAGATCCTCTCTGCTACGCTGGGAGGTGGGGGCGGCTGGGGGGAGGGGGCTACACTTTAGGTCCTTCTGCAAAGAGGAAGTGCTAGTGAACTTTGGCCCTGCCAGGGCCTTATCAGAGCCCATAAAATCCTGCCCAGGCCTTTGTTAACAGAGGGAGGGTACGGCCAGGAGGGCTGGGCAGGGCAAGGCTGCAGGAGTGGCCCACGACAGATGGGCAAAGGAAGGAAGAGAAAGCAGGGAGGGACAGGTGCTCTGGACAGCCCTAGGAACTGGGAAAGGGCTTACACTTATTGCATGCCCACTATATGCCCAATCCACATACATTAGATTGTAGGTATAGTGGTTTAGGTCATCATTTCTGGAGCCAGAGGTTCTGGGTTCAAATATTGCCTCGACCACTTCCTGGCTGTTTCATCTTAGCTTAGTACCTTAGCCTCAATTTCCCCAATTGCCCTTCTGAAAAATGGGGATTCTAGTAGTATCAACCTCATAGAGGCCTGGAAAGGAACCACTAAGATAATAAATGCTCAGAACAGGACTTGGTGTACAGAAGGCACTAAATTAATCCTTGGCCTCTTGCACTCATTCCAAACATAAGCCCAGGAGGTTCGGATTATATATGGACATGAAAACCTTAAGTTTAAAGACATGAGGCAGGGGTGCCTGGCTGGCTCAGCTGGTAGAGCACGTGACCCCTTAATCTCAGGGTGGTGAGTTCAAGCCCCACCTTGAGCCTGGAGCCTATTTAAAAAAGAAAAGAAAAAGAAATGAGGCAGTTGGCCCAAGACTGGGTAGCAGCGGAACTCTAGCCAGACTCGGGCGTCAGCTCCCACCAGGCTGAGCAGTGAGTGGGTGCCAGGCAGGGTGAACACCGCCCTTACGCCTGGAGCAGGAAGGGAGACCATCTGGAGCCTTCCGGCCGGGAGGCAGCTGCCAGACTTTTTATGGGCCCTGACCCGTCCACCGCCAGCTCTGAATGGGCGTCGCCTGCACGGCTCCTGTGCTCATTGGTCAAATCTCCATCCCCAACTTTCTGTGCAGCTGCGGTCCTGGAACCCCCACCCCCCACCCCCCCCCCAGGGACGTCGCAGCTCCTTTCTGCCTCTGCTCTTTTCAATGAAGACACCAGGTTCGTTAAGTTGCTTTATTGTTCGGGTGAAGATAAGGCCCTGGGCATGAGGAAATCAGAGTTAGGTTAGAAACTGGGAGATCAAGGGAGAAGGTACCAGGCGACCATCTTTACTAACTCTCCTTCTCTGGGGATGAGGAAATGGGCGTGAGGTGGGAGGCAGCCAGACCCTGGGCCTCGGTGGCTCTCAGAGCTTGGAGAAGGTGACGTTCTTCAGTTCCTGCTTCTCCACTGCAGCCTGGACAGACTTAACGATGTCCTGGGTTTGCAGCATGCTCATATTCCAGGTGGCCTGGACGAAGAGAATGGAGAGCAATGGCAGGGGCGGGGAAAGGTTGGGACTGGGCCAATGAAAAACAGGGAAGAGAAAGCAGCGCACCAATCAGAGGACAAGGCTTGCAGAGGGTTTCTGGGCCCTGTTTGGCCGCTCTGGTACCAGAGAAGGGCTGTGATTGGCTGGGCGCAAAGCCTTACCGCGTAATTGAGGCCCTCGGCCACCGAATGGTTGCGGGAGTAGACCAGGTTGATCTTGGTGCTCTGTACCGCCACGGGGCTCTTGGTGGAAATCTCGGCCGCCAGGGTGAAGGCCGCATCAAGCATCCCCACCTTGTCTGGGAACACCCGGCTGCGGATGAAGGGAATCCGTCGTGGGGGAGAGCGGGGAGGCGGCCGTCTGCCAAGGAGGCTCACCATCCCCCATGAGTAAGTGGCCAATCACAGCAGAAAGCAGTGATTTCGCCCAGTGAAATGAGCCAATCAGAGCAGGGCACTGGACTGCAGCTTGAAGAGTTGACCACCCAGATAAAGTCAGCCCCCGTGAGGGTACACCCGGACCCAAAAAGCCCAGCCCAGGTTACCCCTGAACTCTGAACAGCACAGGCCGTGTCTCCTACCTGACCAGCCCACTGCCCAGGGCCTCATCAGCCATCATCTTGCGGCAAGTGAAGGCCAGCTCGTTGACCAGGCTGCAAGAGGGAAGGGCGGGTCAGGGGACCGCAGTCATCCTGGATCCAGGAGAAGCGCTGCAGTCCCCTCCCTGGCTCCTTCACCCACCTCTGGTTTCCGAGGACTTTGGGCAGTCTCTGCAGCGTTCCTACGTCAGCCGCCAAACCTATGTCCACCTCCTGGGAGGAGCCATGATGTCAGGATTCAGTTTGTGCCTAATACTGCCTCCCACCGTGCAACCTCAGTGCCAATGAAATCTAGCATCTCCTGCAGCGACCCCACTCCCACCTCAGAGACTGCCCCCCAAACACCCCATTTCGTTGTCATCCTTCAGCCCAGAACACAGCCCACCTCCCAATTCCTCTGCCTTCCCAACTCCTTGAGGTCAGTCACATCTCCTGAGGGAAGCCCTCCAGCCCTCCCTGTCTGACCCCCACTGCCTCTACAGGCTCCATCCTGCCTTGGGTCCTCCCCATCACTGATCCCAGCAGCAACCCCAACTTCCTCCTCACCCCCATACCTTTACTCACTCCAAACCCCACGTGGACTGCGCGGCTCCCCTTCCCTTCCTTCATGGTCAAAGTGCCTTTTTTTTTTTTTTTTTTTAAGATGTATTTATTTATTTGAGAGAGAGAGAGAGAGAGAGCAGGGGGAATGGCACGGGGAGAGGGAGAATCCCAAGCAGACTCCCCCCACTGAATGTGGAGCCCGACGCATGGAGCTCGATCTCATGACCCTGAGCCAAAATCAAGTTGGATGCTTAACCAACTGAGCCCCCCACAGGCACCCCCAAAGTGTTACTTTTTAAGGCTCAATTCTGACTAACTCTTCCATGAGGCCCTTGCTTCTCACACTCACTCTCACCCCCACCCCCTTAATCTGTTCTTTTGCAGCTCTACTCCCCCCCCACCTGCCACGCATCGCCCACCTCTAAGCAGGATCTGAGGAAGGAGCGCAGGAGGAGGGCTCACCTTCACCTGGAAGAAAGCATCCTGGGCACAGTACCGGATGTCACAAGCAGTGATGAGGTCCACGCCTGCAAGGGGGAGGTCAGGGGCATTGACCAACCACAAGGACCAGCCCCTCCTCCCAGAAGATGGGGTTGTACCTCTGGGCAGGGTTTAACTAGCAGCTGATCTGAGGCTGGAGGTCCCTGGCTGAGGCGGACAGGCAGCAGCCAGCCAACAGGCGCCCAGCTACACCAGGTGCCCGGATGGGGGGTGGGTTGCTCAGACTCACCTGCACCAATGCAGGCCCCATGGATGGCGGCGATCACGGGCTTCGGACACTGCAAGAGGGGGCAGGAAGGGTGGGGTCAGAGCTGGTCCAGGAAGGATGGGCAGGGTTCGGGGGCGGGGTGTGCCCCAATAGTCCCCCAGAGAACCTTCTCGATGACACTGAAGGTCTCTTGGTATTTGCTGATGAGGCTACGGAGGTACCAGCTGGTGCGGGCTACGTCATCTCCTTGGGGCTGTAGGATTTCCGAAGCCATGTCCATAAGGTCGATACCTGGTGGGGAGGCATGAGGAGGTTCACATAGCCTCCCAGGCACCCCCTTCCCCTGCCGCCCTCATTGCCCCAACTGAGGTCAGAACTCCGACTTAGCAGATTCGAACCCCCAAACCACCACAGTGGAGAAAGGTGCTCACGCAGGATCTAGCAAGGGATAGCATATGGGGTGTGAAATAAACAAAAGCTAACATTTACAGGGTCATTACTCACTTTATCCTCCCAACAGGCCTATGAGGTGGGTCCTATTACTATCTCCATTTTACTGAGGGTAAACTGAGGCATGTGACGCTTAAGTTACTTGCTCAATAAGGTCACACTGGCTTGGGAGCACTGGCACTGGGACTTTAAGCCCAGAACCATGCACTGGCTCCAGAGGTCATGCTTTTCACCATCACGCCAGGCGGCAGAGGAGACAAGTGTCTGGGCATGAGTCCATGGTGGTAACATTTCGTCAGGAAGACTGGCGATGGAGCAATTTCTGTGGGCTCCAACTGCAAGACGATCTCAAATCTAACCTCTCCTCCACGAATCATTCTCCAGGAATCTGTACTCTGGCTGAAACAGTTTCCCGTGGTCTCCCTGCTCCCAGCCCCGCCCTGACTGGTCCCCATACGCAGCCAAACTAACTGGTGAGCACGTCAGGGCCTCCTTCTCTTCCCTCCCATCTCACTCACTTGGAAGAAGATACAAGATGTGTGCCAAAACCTTACCAGCCCTCATGAACACCATTCCCAGCCCACTGCTTTGGGCACACAGGCCTCCAACTGCTGTGCCAACACGACCACACAGTCCCTTCCCAGGGCTTTGTTTTTCTACCTACAGCTCTCTGCCTAGAACAGTCCCTCCCCCAGTGGCGGTCAGAAGACTGACTCCAGGGGCACCTGGGGGGCTGCCTTCAGCTTAAGTGTCTGCCTTCAGCTCAGGTCCTGGGTTCAAGCCCCGCATCAGGCTCCCTGCTCAGTGGGGAGTCTGCTTTTCCCTCTCCCCCCCGCCCCTCCCCACCTGCTTGTGCTCTCTCTCTCTGTCAAATAAATAAATTAATTAAATCTTAAAAAAAAAAAAAAGAAGACTGATCCATCAGTCCATAGCTCAAAGGTCACCTCCTTGGGGAGGCCCACTCAGGCTACCACGGCTGAGGAGCAGCCCCATCACCCTCTACCTCCCTCTGTGTCTTATCTTGGTCACTGCCCTCTCCTTATCATATAATGTGCTTAACTCATTTAGTGCCTGTCTCCCCCTCTAG